AACAAGGCCGCTAAATTTTCCAAGTTCTCCTTTTGTTGCCTGGACTATATAGAAGGACTGTAGAATGCATCCAAAAGTTCCATTTTAGCTTAAAACTCACTTCTAACTTTTTTGATGGAGTCCATAATGTCTTGATAGGAGTTCAATGAGTAACTTGTAGGATAGACAAGATTAGTGTAGAGCTATTTTAATTGCTGCCACAAATCCTGTAGCGTGTTCAATTATATTCGGAAATAACTAATTCACTAGGGAAAAATATTATATAAATATTTTATTATAAAACGTATCAAAAAGGTCTTGTACAAAATATATAATAAACTTACCAAAATCTTAAAGAGTAAAAAGGAAGTAGTGACTAGTTTTTCACGTCTTTGTTTACTGCTCGTGAGTACCCGTGTGTCTCGCTCGGTGATTGAAACGGAAGAGAGCGAATAGTAGCGATTGTTCATTAACGTGGTGTTTTTCTAGTTCTTTAGTTTCGTCACTAGAGGCGTGACGGTAAGAATGCCGGAGGCGCCAAGCCTTGGCGTGACGGCCACAATCCTTGTAGCGACCTGCTGTCGATAAGCAGATTACCACTTCATCCTATGCGACAACTAGCGCCGCCATCCTCACTGCTCATTCTTTAGCAAACTACTTTAGCACTAGCACTCTAGCAAAGCTAACAGCGCTTCTAGGAGAACGTTAATGTTTCCATAGTTACAAAGACGAGACTTCCGTTCCAACCGTTGAGCAATAGACACGCGTACCGACAAGCAGGAAATAAAGACGTGCAATTAGCTACTACTTCCGCTTACCTCTTTAAGATTTTTGTTAAGTTTATCACATATTTTATACGAGACCTTTTTGATACATTATTAAAATAAATATTCATATAATATTTTTTCTTATTGAATTATTTATTTCCGCACATTAGTGAACACGCTACATCCTAAATATCGAACTGCCATCTAGCAGAAAAATGTTGAAACTGTTGTTTAAAGCAAACATTTAGCCGGTAACCAATAACAACGCGTAACTAGTTAACAAATTTGTGATTTATAAGTTTTATGAGACTTATAAGTTGAATTTTTCTCTCTTTTAAGGTTAATTAATTAATAATTTTGTTAATATATAACAATATATGGTAAGTTATGGATACATGAATCTACATGTTATAAAATTGATAATAATCAATTTATATAAATAAATTGGAAGTTGTTATAAAAAAAGAAATATGTATGTGTGTGTGAAATCAGAATTAAAATATATCAAAATAATAGTTACTTTTTTCTTCCACAGCATTAAATATGAGTATTGATAAGTCTTTTTTAGTACAAAAGCAAGTAAAAGATAATTCAGAGGATTTACAAAGAGAATTTCTTAATCTGAAAAATTGGGAAGAAGAAATGAAACGTAAAGAGAAGGAACTTCTTAATAAAAACAATGATCAAGTAAACTTAATCATATTTTATAAAAGAAACAATAAATATAATTATTAAAAAATAATGCTCATCTTTTTTCTTTAACTTATTTAAACTTTACAATAATGATGATGTTCATTACATAGGTTTTACCACCCATAAGAAGTAAAAAGAAAAAGGTAATGCAAAAGCCTCCAATGAAAGAAAAATGTAACACGAACACAAAGCGAATTAAATCGGGTGATTATTCCTCTTGGGATAAATTTGACGTGGTGAGTTATGAAATTTTATAAATATTTATATTTATGGTATATATATTTAAAAACTATTGTTTGGATAATAATAATATTTGAATGAAGGAAAAAGCTTGCAAAGAAATAGATAAAACAGATTCATCCGATGAATCTGGAGAAGAATTGAATGAAGATGAATTGAAAAAACGGCATGATATAGCAACAGAGCATAAACAAAAGGGCAATATACTCGTACAGCAACAAAAATGGGACAGTGCCATTGCATGTTATTCCGAAGCAATAAAAGTTTTTCCATACGATGCTGTCTTCTATGCGAATCGTGCTCTTTGTCATTTAAAAAAGGATAAGTATGTCTCGTCTGTAATATGTATATATTTTTTAATGTTATAATATTATACTTATAATATTACAATATTGCATTTAATTTTATTATAGCTTATACTCTGCAGAAGCTGATTGTTCTACAGCGATACAATTGGATTCACAATATGTGAAAGCTTATCACAGAAGAGCACTGTCTAGATTAGAGTTAAAACAATATAAAGAAGCGAAAGAAGATTTGGAAAAAATATTGCAATTAGAGCCATCTAATAAGGAAGCACAAGCTAAACTTGCTCAAGTCAATAAAAATTTGGAAACTAAGGTTTAACATTAATATTAATTATCTTTTTAATTACAAATGTCTTACACATATAAATACTAATTTTTCAGTCAATTATCATATCTGAGGAAAAGACGTCGAAGGAGACGTCATTAGAAAAAACGATTGGTGAAAAAATATGCAATTCCAATAAAAAAATTAACAAGGAAATAAGTAATAAGAAAACAGAGCAAGATGTTGTAAATAAAACAATAAAAAACAAGACAAAATATATGCCAATTCCTGACTGGTTACCGGAGAAAGATAATGTCGAGATCATAGAGCCTATTATTAAACCACCTCACTTGCGTTCAAAAGTAAGGAAATAACGTTCCATTAAAATTATCATTATGTTAAATGTAAAAATGTTTAATATTTGACTATTTATTTATAGAAGTCTATGAAACGTATTGTAGTACAAGATGCAGAATTTGAAATTGCGTCATGTAAAAAAGAAACTACACTAATTGAGACAGATAAAATCCAAAAAGCTGAATCATTTAATATGCTTGATGATAAAGCTGTCGCAAAGAACAAAGTTTTAAATAAATCTTGCGAAGTTGAAAAAAATGTACACGTAGATCTAAAAATTCCAAAAACAGCTGTACAATTTATTATAGATTGGCGGAGAAATAAATCATCAGAGTATCGCTATCATTACCTAAAAGTATTTAACTAATTTGACATCGCGATAATATAGTCATAAAAAATTACTTATGAAATTAATAACTCTAAATTTCAGCAATTACCTTCGAACAGTTTGCCACAACTATTTCAAGATTCTATGGAGTCTGATATTTTCAGTGAGATTTTAGACATTCTTAGAATTGAATTCATACCACGAAAAGATTCGGTATATCAGTATTTGGAATGTTTAAGTCAAGTAAAAAGATTCCGAGCACTTATTATGTTTATTAATAATGTCGAAAAAGAAGGTATGTATATTGTAAATATTTATCTTCAATGAAATTATAAACAATTTATTTATTTTTTATAGGAATAAAAACTCTTATCGAGTATAGTAAAAATACTGCCAATATATCGGAAGAAAAAATAAAAAAATTATATGAAGTATACGAAATTTGACACGAAACAAAATATTAGGTATGAATTAGATTGCAAATTTAATGTAACATTAACTTTAATACAAATATATATATATTTTATGCACTTTGTGAATGTACAACCAAGTCCATTTACTAGGCTGTAAATAGATAAATATCTATCTATATATTTGATGTAATAACAACACGATTCATAAAAAACATTTTTGTTTTCTTTTTATATATATATAGGTGCTAAATATTTATTTATTTATTTAAAATAACTTTACTTCTGTATAAATATTTTATATTTAAAAATCAATAATGTGTCCTTTAATATATTTACAAAACGTCTATATATATATATTTACAAAAGTACAATTTATATTTTTATTACACACATATCTTCAATATATATATTGATCACACTAACTACGAAAATGTATATGAATTATTAAAAATGCTCTCTCTATATATTATGTATTAAATATATTCCAAACGTTACAAAAAAGTTATTTTAAATACTATATACTTTTACATATCACCGTTTAATAGTCTCTGTATTTTTTGATTATTCTTTATTATTCTAGCTTTCGCTTGATAAATTTTATTTAATTGATCCTGAATATTATTGTCAATTTCTTTTAAAGTCAAGTCCATTGGATCTATTATTTCTTGTGTACGTCTGAAAATAATAAGTAACGTATATTAATATATTTAATATATTTTGTATATGATGTTATTTACAGGGATCATACATTTGTTCCTTTTCCAACTGTTTGTTTAGTTGATTATACTGATTTCTCCAATCATGTAATTCCTTTTGCATCATTTCAATATCTTCCTATATAAACAAATTACAGAACAAATAAACACTGTTTAACATACATTTATATCAAAATTTATATCAATACTCTAGCATAAATTGAAACGATACCTGTAAGTAATCCAACAATTTTCCTAAAGGATTCGTTGTACGAGTTAACATTTGTATCGTACCACGCAATTTATCAATTTCTTTAATTGCAGCCTCATGATCACGCTTTGTACCTGCCTCCCATGCCTAAATTCAAAAACATTTATATTTTATAAAATACTTTTCAAAGTATTTGATTAACGTAAACATAAATAAATAAAAATATCTTACAATATCAACTTTCTTTGGTAAAACATCGACATTTTCAGTGTTGACCAATTCTCTTTGAGTTTCTAAAATTTGTGCTACAAGATGACCATGTTCTTGAGTTAATTCATGGTCAATTTTATAATTGCTAATATTTTCTAAAGTTGTTCCAATGTTTCCCTTATTTTCTACGATCACCATATCTTCATTATCATTATCTTTTGTACTTGTATTTTCAATTATTACAGTAATGTTTCCTATAGGCGTACTAAAATCCAAATACATCATTTAATATATAAATATATTGTTTTATTAATAATTAATTTAATTAATATGAACTACCTTATTTCTTCATTTGGAATTAAGTCAGTTTTTCCTTTCATTTTAGGAGCAGCGGGTCTTGCGCTACTCGGTCTGGCAGTAGGTGGACGTAAAAATGTTCTCGATTTAGATGTACTAGGTTCTTGTTCACTATTAAATTTATTCTTCTGTAAATTGGATGCATGACTAATTGAATTCTCAAGTTCTGTTAGCTGCGAATCATTATTTATATTTTCATATGTCGATTCAGATTCTGTTTTTAACTTTCCTTTATCTGTATTTTCTATTGATTTTGTTGTAGGTACTATCTCCGATATCATTTTTATTGATTCCTTAGACTCACTTTCTTGTTTTGATAGGGTTCGTTTCCCCCTACTTGCGGATTCTTTTCTTTGAAAATGTTCATCCGATTTCTTCTCTGCATTTATATTTGTCTGAGATTTCCCTGTTTGTACTTCTGTGAGAACCGTGGAAGATACATGATTCTGTTTTTGTTTAATAGCCGAAGAATGTCTTGTTTTTTGTACTAGCTCATCTTCAAGCGACTGAGTGTAAAAAACAAAAATAGTAATTTATTTATTATTTAATATTTCATATTTTCAAAAATATTATATATTTAGTTTAATTTACCGGTTTGTTTAATTTATCGGTTGGTGGAACATCTATGTCATCATTACTCTTTTCAATATTATTTTCTTGACTTTCTTGTTTTATTACATCACTATTTTTATTGTTACTATCTTCTTCATTCGTTTTAGATCCAACTTTTTTTGTACTGGAATTTTTTTTTTGTGATCCAGGCGTATTCTTTTCTTTTTCAATTGGTTTTCTCGTTTGCGATACTTGTCTAGTTGATTTCTTAGCAACATCGTCTTTAGTTATTTTTAATTTTGATGCTCCTTTTGATTTCTTTTGTAAACCTTTCTTATAATGTTCAATTGCCTCTGCACTGTTTACCTAACTCAATCATACATATATATTATATAATATTATTGAAAAATATGTTAGATAAGTATAAAAATGTTGTACTTTTTTATCAAGAGCTTTCCCAATAGCTTGTAAAAGTTCATTGGTTTTAGTAGCTTCTTGTCCGGAAACTATTTTACTTGCTCTTACTGTTAAATTATTTCCTGATATTAATTCTAAAAGATATAATTTTATATATTAATATAATATTATAAATACAATTAGCTTGCATGGAATGTTTAATTTCTTAGAACTTACTAACAACATCTATAAGTTTAGTTAAATACGCAACTTTGGACTCCTTATCTTTTATATTGTCTGAGTTTAATTCTTCTTCGGTGAACAAACCTTTTAAGAAACCGGTCTCCTGTATTATCTGTAAGAAAAAATTCAATATAATTAAAATATTATTGATCAACTATTAAAATAAATATAACAAAATAAGAAAAATTATTAATTAAATTACAGTATTAATAAATTGTTAAAATTCATACAATTGATATAATATCATGAATAAATCTGAAGGGTGGTTTCCTCAACAATTTTTCAGTTAACGGTGGCTTTTTAAAATATTTTCCAAGTAAATCTTGGGTTTTTTTTATTACTTCTGGCTTCACGTCGTCTGTCATAGTTAAATATTGTTAAAATCATACGAAAAAGCGTGGAACTGTTCAAACTATTCCCCTTAAAATCTTGATAAGCTTTTTGTGGATATGTACAGTTGCCTAGCAACAACCACGTGGTTTAAATGTCAAATAATTAATCTTTATGACGTTCAAGGACTCTTATAATTTATTTACATTTATTATCAATAATTCTTTTTTGAATATTATATATTTTTAGTAATATCAACAAAGTTTAAATAATCATAAAATATTTAAAATATAAATATGCATTTAATTCAAATAAATTATAATATTAATAGGGAGAAATCAATAAAAATGATTACAATTGATTGTAAGTATAGTTTATTTATTGATCTTCTCATTTATCTTTTAATAACTAATTACATTTTCATATTATCGTCATAATATTAAAAATAAATTATGTACCGTATTTGATACATCTTTTCAAAAAACGGTATTTATTTGCGTGAAAATTACGCTTGAAAATAATCTATTTTTAGAAATTATTTTTTCTAATAAAATAATATTTTTTTAAATATATAAAAATAATCAGCTCACGTAAAAATCCTTTATTTTTCAAATGAGCTGATGATCATCAAAATTGGAAAAAAATTAGAACCAGAATAATTAATAGTGTAAACTCTTGCAAACTCCATCCATCTATGATGTGTTATGTATATATGCATATGTCGTCTGCTATAAGATAACCTAACTTAAATAGAATGCAAAGATTTTGTATGAATACGGTATTTGCTACAGTGATTATTGTCAAAAATACATAACAATTTTGTTAATATTAACGTGATTGATTTTATTTTTCTAGAGTCATGACTGTCTTTAATTTTGTAAATAAAAAAGTGAATGAAAATTCATTAGATAATAATAAAGTTAATGAGAAGAAAGAAAGTCAAATTAATGATAACAATGAAAATAAAAAATTTGATAAAAATGCTTCTACAACAGAAAATTCAGTAGATAATGAAAACTGGGGTTATGATATGTACCCTGAAAGAAAGGGTACATATAAACCAACATTTCTTAGAAAATTAATAGGTGAAGGAAGGGAAGAAGCTAACAGATTTAAATGCGAAGGAAAAGTATACAAGTGTATAAAAACTAGTATGTTCTTTATATCTTCTACTATAATTGTTGTTATTTTATTATTCTAGTTTGAATTCTTATTTATTGCTTTATTATTTAGGTCCATTAATACAACTTATGATGGCAGCGTTAAAAAGTTCTGGATGGTAGGTAATCTTGCCAATACATACATATTACATCAATATAACCATTTTTATATTTAAACTAATACAATATTAGGATCTATTTTATATGATATATATATATTTATAAAATTTAATTCAAACAGTTGAAGTATTTAATTGTTTGTTCAAAACTATAGTGAAATTGATATTCGTCGTCACATTTCTTGCGAAGTATGTGATAGTTCTGTAAAAGGTGGCTATGATGCAGAACTTAATCAGGTAATTGTTTAAATATTATGAACATTAAATTTTACAATTGTAAGATAACATCTTTTGTCTTTAAATAGATAATTTTTAATCCAAAGTAAATGTCTGTTTTGTTAATATCTATATTACAATTTCAGATCGTTGTATGTCAAAATACTGTTCACAGTAAATCAAAAATGCAGAGTGTATTAGCTCACGAATTGATACATATGTTTGACTATTGTCGCAATAAAGTGGACTTTAGAAACATTGATCATTTAGCTTGCACCGAAGTAAGAGCAGCTAATCTCATACATTGTAGTTTTATGAGTGCCATGATTCAAGGAACTGTGTCTCCATTTCATATAAAACAAGCTCATCAAGTATGAATTACATTCTTATATATTATCGATAACTATATCATAGACATACATATATATATTTAATATTTAATAATGACATCATATTAATTACACAGGACTGCGTAAAGAATTTGGCAAAAGCATCTCTAATGGCAGTGCGTAATTTAACAGAAGGAGAAGCTAAAATGGCAATCGAAAAAATTTTTCCTATGTGTTACAATGATTTAGAACCAATTGGACGACGTCTCCGTAGAAACTCTTTAGATATTAACAGAGCATATATGGAGGCTCCACTTTATGGATATTTATATGATAATAATAAATGATTTATCAAGAATTCATTTTATAAATATATGAAATCAATTTATTGACTGTCGTAGGTTCTTCACTATGATTTTTACGAAATTATTTTAGTGATATTGTAAATAATTATATTAATATTATATGGTTATTATTACAGCACTGTAGTTTAAAGTTACATAAATTTAAGGGGGAAATAGATGTAGTGGCTTCCAAAAATTCAATTTTTTTTTTTTTATAAATCGCTTGTAAAACTATTTATATTTATTTCCTTCCTTAAACAATAATTTTTAATCAGACTATATCATGAAATATTACTATAAAATCACATTTCATTTATCATCATTATCCTAACTTTATTAAATTATTGGAAATAATTTTTTAAACGTATGAATATATAACTGTATGTGAAATAAAGTTTAAAATTTCCGCTGTTTTGTCTAGCAATGGGATTGGTGGTCAGTGTTTAAATGTTGACTAAGGGTGCGTTCCGCTAAGCGCTCACAACGATCAAAATGCTCCTTTAGTCGTTCCACATAACGACCGCGGTCGTTGTGGTCGCGGCGAAAACGTCACTCATGACGTCATTACTAACGCTCACGCGAAGCCCACAACGACCCATCTGAAAACGTGGGTCGTAGTGAGCGTTGAGAAAATTAGCGGTTTTTTCGAAACTGACAACAATAAAAATGGCGACCGTGAAACTGACATGNTAATCTTTTACTTTCTTTTCACTACCTCGCCATTTGTATTATTACCTCCACGCTCAAAACGCACCATAGTCCATTCCACTTGAATTTACGACAGTAACGCTCGTAGGTAAGTGGAACGGGAAAAACTGTGGTCGTGAGCGTGATCGTTGTGAGCGCTTAGTGGAACGCACCCTAATCAGAGCTATTAATTCTACGACATCGCCATCTATGAATATTAGAACGAATGATTGACTAACATTTTTTACTTTCCTTTCATTCTTCTGTATAGTATATGCCTTTATTAAGCTTCCGTGAAAGTTAAGTAGAAGTGTCCTTTTTGTGATAGTTTTCGTACCGACAACCATGGCGGAAGTAAGTGCATCCGAGAAAAAATCTATAAAAATTCATGTCATCAGCAATATAAAATAATGTTATAGTACATTTTATAAATATTCTTATTATAATATATGTTGTGAAAGAAGTATTAACGTATGATAATGTGATTAGGTTGAACATAACCAATTCTTACATATATTGTTTTGCATATTTCAGGCTGATGAAACTCAGAAGAAAAAGAGGACTTTTAGGAAGTTCACCTTCCGAGGAGTTGATCTCGATCAACTCCTAGATATGCCCAAGTATGCTTTCATTATTAGTATGATATATTTATGATTAAATTTTATTGTCATCTATATTTTAATCATAATATTGCTCACCATAAAATAACGGTTAATTCAATTTCTTATTATTATTTTAGTGAGCAACTTATGGATTTGATGCACGCACGTGCTAGAAGACGTTTTTCTCATGGGTTGAAACGTAAATCAATGGCACTTGTTAAGAAACTGCGTAAAGCCAAGAAGGAAACTCCTCCCAATGAAAAGCCAGAAATTGTTAAAACACATTTGCGTAACATGATCATTGTTCCAGAAATGGTAGGTTCCATTGTTGGTGTTTACAATGGAAAAACATTCAATCAGGTTGAAATCAAACCAGAAATGATTGGTCATTATCTTGGAGAGTTTTCTGTTACTTACAAACCGGTCAAACATGGAAGGCCCGGTATTGGTGCCACTCATTCTTCAAGATTTATTCCACTTAAATAATATGTATTTTTAAGATAATAAAATATAAAAATATTTCATTTTATTATTATTATTTTATAGAACACATTTCTCTAATATTTGTATGACTGTTACTAAAATTGTTTCATGTAAATGAAAGTAAAAAATCAGATATAAGAACGAGTAGCATACTATTAATATTCAATTAAAATTAGATTATTTGAAGAGTTAAAATATTAAGCTAAAATAAAGTTATCATAATAATTCTATTGATTTAAATACATAATACACATACGTGAAAAAAGAATAAAATTTGATCAATATGTTAGGTAAAGGTACAAGATAACTACAATTAAGAATAATATATTTTTGATTTCAATTATATATATAATTTTATCTCTCATGCAACCGATGTGCCGTGGCGCCATCTGATTTTGTAGTTTTGGAATTAAATTTATAAATAAAGATACGCTATATAAAGAGGTTAGTAAGGTTAAGAATTCACATGGTTAAATTTGATAAAACTTAAAGTACAATTTATTTAATCATGAAAGTTTGATCAAATCTATTATTATGTTTATTAAGGAACAAGTATATTAGTTATCGTGATGTCATTCCTTAAAAGTAAAACATTGCGTTATGGTGTTCCATTTGTAGTTTTAATCGTTGGTGGATCGTTTGGACTCAGAGAATTTACACAGTTGAGGTATAGAAAAAGTCGTTTTTATTCACAATTTATCATGTTATTTTTTAAAAGAATAATGATGAAATTATAAGATGACAAGACAAATCATTTATGATTACATAATTTATAATACAATTAATTTGTTATAATTTATTTTCGTATTTTTATAACATTTAATAATATTAGATATTATTTTAGATACACGTACAGACAACAAACAGCGTATTACACAGAATCAAAGAAATTAGGTATAGAAGTTAAAAAACCAGGTGAAGTTACTTTAGAAAGCGAATATGAAAAATTAAAACAAGTATGTTATAAACTACAAATAGTATTACAATGTACAAGATGTCTTAACCTATATCAACTTTTTTTTATATTTAAGTGAACAAAGTTGATCTTCGCATGATCCTTACAAATTCTTTAAACAAATTAATAACTTCAAAATATGTTTTTTCTAAGCCATATAATTTTTATCTTTAAAATTTTTACTGTGTTTAATATTAGCTATGAAAATTAAGATGTTGATATCAATCGAGACACCTTGTACATAATATAAATATTTCATAATTAATACGTTAAGTACTATATTGGTCACTAGCAACAAATAGTGTATTGTATTTTGAGTTCAGACATGTTTTTACAGCTAATGAATTATTATTACCTAAATGAAAACCTCAATGAAAGATGTTCAGCACTTAACGTATTGATTAACAAGATAAATTTTGTAAAAATAATCTTAATTTATTAATAAAAATTTATTTTATGTTTTTTATATATTATAAAAGCTTTTTTACATTCGTATTTTTTAAAATGAAAAGCAGTCAAATATATATAAAATTGAATGTTATATATATATATATATCCTTTTTTCTTTTTTATTACAATTTTAGCTGGATATTAATAATTGGAAAAATATTAGAGTACCAAGGCCCTGGGAAGAATAAATAAAAGAACCCCCAAAAATTAGTTAGTTCTTACATAAAAAATAGGCAGTGTGTTTTAATGTAGAACTTGGCAGTGCTAATGTATAATTCGAATAACACTCATAAAGGTAACAGTTTCAGAAATACATAACAAAAATATTTTTAAAAATACATTCGTTCAACATATGCATATTGTCCAGATTTAATTGATTTCATTCTAACTTCAATGACTCTTCTGTAAGTATAAATATTTATTTTATAAATATTTAATATGTAAATAATTTTAATAGAAAGACTTACTTTTTTTAAATCCGAACATATTTAATAACTTTAATTGTCCACGCTCAGAAGATATTCGCTTACTTCTATGGATTTGTTTGGGTGCCGCTTTTTTATTGATTTTCTGAAAAATATTAAATATTAAAGATTAAAAAAATTTTATATATAAGTATAATTAATATTTTGGTAATATGAATACCATAAATATGTTAATGATATACAAACCGTTTGAGAACTTGTTAGTGGCTTTTTAATGGTTTTGTCTGAGTGATCGTCAATCGATGTATTTAATTTAATATTAGAAAATTTAAATAAAGTATTCTTATTATCTTCTATACTATTTTGGCTAACCGAATAATCAGATTCTGAACTAGGACTGCATGATTGCGGTGTATTACAATTATAGTTATTTATATTGTCGTTAATACTTAAATCTATTTTTTCTACTTCATTCGAAGTAATTAAACTTCTTGATTCGTTTGCGTGATTCGAAGAACAGATACCTTGGTTAGTAATTGTTTCTTCTAAAATATTTCTTTCAAGAATCGTACTCTCATTTTTGTTAACTAATGTACTTGTATTTGATTGGTTAGCATCAATGGAATGTGTATTATTTGGATTATTAAATTCTATTGAATATTTTAGATTATTTTGTTCTTCTTGTATGTCCATTTTCATCTTTTTGGGAGTATGATTTATACATAGTTCATCATTTTCCGAATTAATATTATCGTCGTTATTATTTGCATTACTTTTATTCATATCTTCGCTCTTACTCTTAAAAAATTTACTTTCTGTAACTATATTTTCATCGATAACTGTTTTTTGAAATTGCATTAAGCGACCAAATTTTGTCCTGCTTCTACGTTTAAATAGTAAACTAGGAGAAATTTGATTAACAGACATTTTTTTAATGAATGGATTTCTAGTTAATATTGGAGATTTCTGTTCATTCACATTAGGTGATTTTTCATCTGTAGAATGTATTTGATTTTCAGTTTCAATATTTTCTTCAGATTTGTATGCATCTAAAATATCTTTTTCATTTAATTCTTGATAGTTTGTAGTGTTTACAACTAAAAAATAAAATAGATATTTATATTAATTTATAATAAATAGTTCATGTGTGTAAATTAGATGCAGTATATATAATTACCATGATAATATTCTCTCTTTTTTGTATTAGTAGATTTTTTTTTCGTACCATCAAGTTCTTTTATACACAAGTAATTCTCATGATTGATTGTTTCTTTTTTCTTTAAAAAGTTTTCTATACTTTGTCTTGGTTTATAATTGGGCGACCAGATGCTTATGTGCTTTGGTATCACACTCAGCATTTTTGGATTTGGATTATTGAATTTCTTAAACAAATTATTAAATATACTATAATATTAAAAAACATATACGTAACTATTTATATATTATACCTTTTTTATATCAGGATCAAAGTCATGAAGCATTTCAAATGTGAACGGATCACAATTACCATAAGCAAGTTGTAATGCTTTATCAGGGTCTATCTCATCCCCAGCATAATGTAATTGTTCTTCAGAAACATCAGCTGTAGGAGGATTTAAACGTACTTGTTTTCTTTGTAAAGGACAAAATACTAATTGATGTTTGAATGTTATGAATGCTTTTATGAAATTGTCTCTATATTCCTTTGATACGTCTAAATATTTCATTTTGAGACAATATCCTAAATTAGTAAGAGCCTGTAAAAATAGCAATATTTATAATTAATACTATTTTTCTCTCTTTATGCATAATTTTATATTATAATACCATAGTGACTGACATTATATATATCACAGTTCTCATTATTAATACTTTGAATGAATTTTTTTGCTTTAATTAATCCTATACCTCGAAGTGAGGCTAAATAATCGCATCCAGATAAAATGCACATATACATAAATTTATCGATATTAAAGTCTGTTAATTTTACACCCATAGCAAGATGTAGTTTGTCTTGTTCAACAAGCAAACCATTACCATTCTGATCCATTTTAAAGAACACCTATAATTATAATATAATATTAATCATCCTTTTTTTCAGTTTAAAATCATTATTCTTATCATATATAGAAAATAATAAATGAAATAAAATTGATTATACCTTTTTACAGCCAAACAATATTAAATCGCTGTCTTCTGTGATAACAACGTCCGCTATTCCACTAATGTTAAGATATGCTAATTGTGAATCAGCTTCATACGGTGCTACAATGCAATCAATATTAAAGCTTTGACACGTTTTAATTAATTCTAAAGCTATTTTATGCGTTACATCTATTGATTGTACTAAAAGATTTCTGCCTTCTGCATTTCGTCCGGCTTGTATTAATTGTGCAGCTTGCTGACGTTTCATATCTCTCTTTCTAAAAGCATATAATATATTTTATATTAAAATTAATAATATCATTGATAACTCCTTACACTATAATAACGTGTGAGACTAGTGATATACATTATGGTTTAAACATCAGAAACACGAGTCGTATTCAAATCTTACAGACAAAATACAAGAAGCACGAAATATAGCACTGAATATATTACACAGCTCCATGTGTTAAATCACATTGGAAAGGGTTAAACTGATTTTGTTAAAAACTTTACATACTTGTGCCTTTGGGCTTCGGTTTCTGCTTTAGCTGGCAAATGTCGTCCATCGAATACAAGAATAGGTTTAATATTATATTTTAAAAGTATTCGTATAAATTTCATACAATATATTATATACCTAAACATTAAAAGTTTAAAGTTAATTGTTCTTATATAAAGGTAATTACAATGAACATAAAGTTAAAACATGAATTAAATAAATTAAAAAATATATTTTAAAATTAATTATAATATATAAAATAATTGTTTACCCATCTGTTGGTTCTCCTAATAATAATTTATCAGCGCAAGGATATATACCTTTGTGTAACCAACAATAACTATCAATAGCAACAGATTGACCGGCGAATTCATTTATATTTGTTTTTCTAGAAGATTTCTCCAGAAACGATAGTAATCCACTAATACCCATATTTTTTAATATTTTAAAAAACAAAGCTACATTTATTCTCTATAATGTTCTATTAAAAAACACTTAAATAAGTAACTGTAAATATTTAATTTTTTCACTTTCTCTTTCCCTATGTTGACTGTTACGCTAGGATTGTATTACCGCCAAATTTTAAGGTAATGTTTCAATGTACAAGTTTATAGGTTATATCGTCCAATCAGAAACGAGATATTGGAGAACAAGCAAAAGTATAGGAGCATATATAAATATTATCTATTAGAATTCATGTCCTATTTTTTAAACATTATATTATATATAAAATTGAATTTAGAAAAATAATTACATTATTATTCTCTCTGTAATTTGAAGAGTATTGAAATAATTTTAAAAGTTAACTTTAATAATAAGTCGAAGGTTCATTTAATTTCTTGTTAGTTATTTTAGTGATTAATATTAATTCAAAATTGACTATTTAAATAATTTTTTATTTTTAAATAATTTATTACAACATAGAGAAATTAATTTAATTTGTGAAACATACACATAACAATTTTATAGGTTTAAATTAAAATAAAAAAAAAATGTTATTTTTATTACATCTGGTTATACATTAAAATTGCTATGTATCACTTGTTATATAGTGCATGTATGTATATGTATGTACATATATTATGCGTAAGCTTAATTTCAAATGAACGTACAAATCTGGCAGTTGGTTTATGGTTCCATATTGTCATATTGTTCGATAAGAATTTTCAATATATTGCGACGTGTAGTAATATAAATTTTTGTTTTTGTTTATCTTAAATTTGTAAATATAAATAACTTTTGTTTCCATTTTATTTAAAATTAATAATAATAATAATAATTATAACAATAATAATAATAATAATAATAAATATGATGAAAGTGGTTAGAGAATTTAATGGATCTAATAATTAGAGTTTACGGTAGATCGTTCAAAGTACGCTAATATGACAGTGTATTTATTTGCATGTGTATGTATATTTAGGCGTATATCAATGTCAATTGTATGTCACAATAGTAGGTTATGACCATTTACTACACAAGTACATTGAATTTAGTTAGGAATAACCTAAAGGTTAATAATTGTGAGGGAATAGAGACTTCTTTTTTGCTAATATTATTCATAATAAGTGTTAAAAGAAGTTGTTAAATATTTTTCTCTGTGTAGACGATTATTCATAATAATTTAATGAAATATTAAAAAGTTATGGAATCATAGCAGATGTGATAAAAATAAGGTAAATGTCATTAAATCATATTTATCTTATCATTATATTAATTGCGATCAAAATAATGTTTAAGTGTAGTTTTATTTTGATTATAAAGTGTATACGCATTTCGTACTTATGGTAAAGATAGTTAAATTTAATAAATTTTTTTTTATTATTACATTAATCGCAATAAAAATTATGATTAATTATAGTTTTATTTTGCTAATCAAATACATGTGTATCTCGCACTCATAATATACAAAGTAAATACCATAAAGTAATGTATTCTCTTATCGTTCTATTAAATGCGAAAGAAATTATGGTTAATTATAACTTTATTTTATATATCAAATATATATTTTCGTTTTTTGTACTCGTAGTATAAAATTTTTAATACGCACACACAATTGATTATGTTGACATTAATCCTTAAATAACATAATTATTTTTAATGTAGATATACTGCAAAGTCTTCAAAGAAATTATTAAAGAACGATGAAGGGATGCCATGGGTGAACATAACAATGGTCATTACGAACAACAGCTTCTCACTGTATTTGAAAGTTGTTTGATGAAAGGGCAAACGGAATTGAAAGAAGAAGATTTATCTTCCTTATGCAATAAATTACAACTAGATGATCATGGAGATGAATTAAAGGAATGCATTAAAAAATGTATTTCAGGAAAACATTCAATTTCATTCCAAGAATTTCGAGGAGGATTATTACTTTTGTTGGCCAAAACGCAAGAACTATTGACTCAAGGTAATATAGAGTGTATGGTACAATTACAACAAGAAGTTAATATAATTATGATATTATAATATAATGATGACAATGATAATAATATTTATTACTTCTCAGATTCAGATATTCAACAATCACACATGAATGATTGTAATACAAAAACAGGTGATTTGTTTAAAATTTACTGCACATCTTATTTCACGATAAAAATAATTTATTATTTTCATACATTAAATATATATTTTGTAGGTTTGATATTAGATAAAAATCGTTTGAAAGATTTATGGCATAAAGTTAACGTATGTTTCAAAGAAAATGCAGATACTTCGGATAAATATTTTATGTCCAATCATCGAGAAACATCTGCTCTTCCAGAACAAGTAATTATCTTCATTTATTACAATTTTATAGTAGTAATATACGAAAGCGAATATAATTATTTCTTTTTCCATAGATAGCTCAACGCATATTCGAAAAACTTGATCAGAATAGCGATGGTTTAATTAGTTTGGATGAATTTCTGGATATATTTAAAAATCAAACTATTTTACAGGAAGAGTTGATACTTTCTTGCAAAGATATATCAGAAAAATGTTTAACTAATTCGAAGGAAGATAAATCTGATTATGATACACTTCAACATCGTGATTCAGGGTATCGTATTTGAATACATCAATTTTAATTAAACATGTTAAGTGTGCCAAGCGTCTTTTGTCGAGCTTTCTGTTTAAGCCACAATAATTTGTCAATTGTAGAAATATATGTATAAGAATGTTGGTCACTAGTGATTGACATACCACTTAATGTATTAAACATTTATTAGATTTATCAAATTATTATATGTATTAATTATTAATATTATTAATTACAGGTTTATTCAGCATAGTATTGTTACCGATATGTGGAAAATGGCTGGCATTTCTGATGCAGCTTCCTTGTTATCCGATTTGGGATATAACACGTCGAGTATTAATTTAAATGATTTAGTTAGCACCTTATGCGAGGAATTGAAAGGTCTTAATGATTCTATCATTAATACAGATATTCAGCCACATATCAGTTTGTTGAAAGGTGTTTTAATTCTTTATAAGGAGGAACTACGTAACTTGAAGTATGTTATAAGCAAGTAACTGTTTTTTAATAGTAGTTCGATACAGATTTTTATGAAGTTTTATAAAAGATATGATAAAAGTATTTGTACAATCCAATTGTATTATATGTATATTTAATTGTATTGTTTGGATTTTATAGTATTTTGATAGAAAATATAACAGGCGAGAGAGATAAACTACGAGTTGATATAATAGAAGCCAATGAGAGAGCGAACTCACTCGCACAAGAAATTGACGATCATCATTTTCGACAAGAGGAAATTAAACAAAATTTGTTAAAGCAAATTGAACACAAACATTCTGAAATTATAAAGGATTTATCAAATCAATTAAGTTTCGAACGCGAAAGCAATGCTACTACTTTAAAAGTTAAAGAACAACAATTGCAAACACAGCAACAAGAAAACTATCAAAATAAAAATAAACTTTTGACCGCTTTACAAGATAATCAAATTTTAGAAACAGAAAATGAAAATTTCCGAAATCAAATTGATAAACTTAAAGAATCAAACAATGAATTGCTGATGCAAATTAAAATGCTCGCTGCAGAACACGATGAGGTATTATATAAACAAATAATTATAGCATTCGTGAAGAGACGTTATGATTAAATATCATAGTTTTGTTTTAATTTTTCTATCATTTTTAGGTCGAAGATATAGATGCAAAAAAAGAGGAACAAGTTCTACATTTAATCGATCGTATGAAACAATTGCAATCAGAAATAGTATCCTTGCGTGATCATAACGATGAGCTTACTATACAATTAGATATTTCAAGATCACTCGAAGATGAAACTAATCTGCGAGCAATTAAAAATGAAGGTAATTAATTTCTATGTTAATTTATTTTTTTTTAACGATATTTGTTATGTAACAATATTATATTATTTACAAATTTCATAGTTGACACTGCTGTCACATCAGAGATGAACACCAATATAGAAACAACTTCGCAGCAAGAGGAAATTGTAAGTATTAAATATTTTTATAAATATAAAAAAGAAATGTAATTATATTCTCATTTTATTAAATACGTATGTGTTTTTTTCTAGATATCCTGCAGCAATAATATGAAGGATAAAGTTGAAGTAGATAGAATTGAGATAAATACGAAAACTAATAATGAACAAATTATAAGCGATCTAAAAAATATGTTCATAAAATGTGAGAATTGTTCTTGTGAAAATTGTGATTATAAGGAAGCAATGTCATCTATTATTTGCGGTCAATCAAATTTCAATTCGTTTTCATTGAACGAAGATATAGATTTTTCTAAAAGTCTTGCTTCCGAACTTGAGACTGAATGCGAAGAGAGGACGAGTGAGTCGTTAAGAGATTTTGTTGTTTCTAAATCTAATAAAACAACAATGTCGTCTACGAAAAAAGCGATGCATAATAGTAACGATGCAATGATTTATCCTACGGATACAAATTTCACTCACGCGGATATTAAATTATTACAAAATAAAATAACTAGCCTTCGAGATTATCCACCTCGTAAAGAAGAATATTCTATTACCGATCATACGAAGAATTTAAAAGATAAAGATATAACGTCCAATTATAGTGTGCCTTGTAATGATTCGGATAAGAAGAATAATATGACTTTGTCTAACAGTGGTAATTCTCTTACTAATTTAGTTTATCAAGAACAAGAAAATTGGTGGCAAATGGAGAAGAAACAGTTGACTGAACGGTGTTTAGAATTAGAAAAAAGTCTTGATTTATTGAAAGCCGAATACGAAGAATGCGAAGAATATTGGGCTGCTAAGTTAGAGGAGGAGAGACAGTTGTTCGAACAAGAACAAAAAATAAGTGATGAAAAGTTTTCAGAACTTATTGCTAAAATGGCAGAATATGAAGAATTAATTAGTCCGGTAGATAAAATGAAAAATGGTGGTCGTTTATCTCCCATAGAAGAAAAATATAATTTAGAACAGCAGGTAAAATTTATTTTCTTTTTCATTATTTATCTTTCAAAATAATACAATTGAATTTAAATTTACAATTAAAATATATTCTTTGCAAATATAGTATTTAGATTTGGAAGAAGAATTCGACCAATGGAAAATTCAAATGGAGAAGGATATTTCGGAGAAGGATAAAGAAATTAAAAGTTTGTTTGAAAAATTAAAAAATATGGAAAAAATAAAAAAAATGGACAATTCGACCCAAGTGTCAGATGATAGCATGTTTCAACCCATCTGTACTTTTTGCAATCATATTCCCATGGATGCATTTAACGTCGAATCGTATGCACAATTGCAATCGAAGACGTTCAAATACGATGGGGATACATCTAATAATGTTACAGAGAGTTTTAAAGGAGATCACATATTTGAAAATCCAATGCCTTCTAATCATTTAACGTCGCAAGTTACAAAGGAAGGTTGCGTAGGAAATTACCACTTAGATCAATTATCGTGTATTAAACAGGATACAAATAGTATAGATAAATGTGAGAAATCTGAATCGGAAGATAAAGGATTAAACAATATTTCTGAACATTCGTTTATAGAAAAAGAAGAAAAGAGAAGTAAATCGAAGCATAATACGTCAAAAAAAGATTATTTATTGATACAGGAATTAATTAAATCGCAAGTTTCAAATGACATACGTTGTCAATGTTTGCAAGATACTGCGCAACAACAACAAGTATGTAATATCGACATTAATATACTGGAAAGTTTGACTATGAAGTTACAAATTCAAGAACGTAAGAAACGCCAATTAGAAGAATATTTTAGACAACAACAGCATCATATAGAACAAGTATTGCATCGTAAGTTATTATTGACATTTTTATTAATATAATATTTGTCAACTTGATTGGATTTATTTAGAAATATGTATTTTCATTTTGTTTGAATTATAGGAACTTTGTCGCAACATCAAATAGAGGTATGTGAATTACGATGTCTTCTTTATAATACTCAAGAAAAATTACAAGTCCAAATTCAAGCTAATACCGAACAGGTACGTTCTTTTATTCGTATTCAATTTTAATTGTGTTATGTCATTTATTAAATAGTAATGTAATGTGTAATTAAAAATGATTTATATTTCTATAGGCTAAAAGATTAGCCGGAGCTGATATACTAGCAAAGGATTTGTTTATAGAAAATGCATATCTAATAGAAAATTTAAAGAGACTCAAGCAACATTGTTTATTATCAGGAGTTAACTATGAATCTACTTCGATATGATACTTCTGTTATCTACGACTATGATGATGTTATCTATATAACAATGATGCATCACTCAGGGAGATAGGTAGATTTAGGAAGTATTAAAAGAGCAATACGCATGTAAGAATAATTTAATACAATACGATATACTTAGCTTTTAAACAATATTCTGTACCATGTACAGATTGCATATAAAATTTATAATGCACGGGTTAAAATTATTCAATGAAAGTTAAGCTTTTATATATATATATATATATATATATATATATATATATATGAATGTAGAAAGAAGAATAACAAGAAAAAGGAAAAAGAAAAAGAATTTGTTCCTAACATAAAAGCAAAGAAACACATAATATAAGTTTAATGTACAGTATTGTAAAGATGATTAGAACTTTATCACTCTCACGCATTATGTATATTTGCAACCTTTACTACATATACATATATATATTTATAGGTTCTAATAATAATAATATGTTAAACATTTATAATTCTCAATTACTTAGAAAATAATAGCAACGCTTTAACGATTGTCATATATTGAATGGTTAACGCTTATGGAATATAGATAAAATTTAATCAAGTTTTCTATAGTATAGTGAGATAAATTCTGTAAAATTTAATTAGTTCAAAAAAATTGTAAATAATATACTTTGTCTTCTAAGTATATTATAATATACTTCAGAATTTATGGTATCGGATGATAGGCCGAAAAATATTTTGTATGATTATAAAACCTCTTTTTTCATTCACAATATTTTCGTTCGCACCTGTGATTACCTCTTACTAAATCGGTATGATTTATTTTTAATTTTTATTTCTTTTATTCAAAAATAGAGAGAGAGAGAGGCATTTTTAATGGGGATTAGTTTTTAGTTAAATTACTATCATTATTTATATTAGAGATGGTTTCAAAGATAGATAGTTCTTTGGTTAACATTGTATTTAAAGAAAAAGGAAATATTTATTTTTAGATTCTATTTTTTTTTTATTTTTTTCCAGTGTGAATGTGCCAAAGAAGAATATTAATTAAGTTTCGAATTATATAATATTAAAGAATTTCCGCTTTTGCTTCATATGTGCGTATACATGTTGCATATACTCGTATATGTACAGATTAATAATTATTTTATTATTGTCAATAATATTTTGTGTTTATCCAGTAAATATTTTTTGAGATAAGACGTATGGTATCATTTTCGAATCGCATAATTAATCATCGTATTAACGATATCGTTACAACGAAAAAAAAAGAAAAAAATATTTTTATTTGGGGTTATATAATGAAATCGTAGAAAAAACGAATTTTTTTTTTTATACCAATACAAGTCTTCTATATATACAAAAAAAATGTTGTACCTGTCTACTTTGATATGAAGTTCAACTATGCCTTAATGATTAATTTTGATTTAGATTACACGTTATTTCCATTGAAAATATTCATTATTAATGCTTTATATAATGTGCACGAGTGTTTCTATATAAATGAAATTATTTAAAATGAGCATAAAGTAATTCAGTACCAATATCAATATGCATATAAACCAATGGAACCCAATTACAGTTTATGCTACATTTGCAGAACCATTCATTTGCCATTCCAATATACAACGAAAATTTAGAATTTAATAGGATGTTTCATAATATATGCATTTACATATTATCATATTATTTACTAGGTAATTATAGTTTTTTTTCCATCTCCTAACAATTAAAGTAATTATTTTATTTTTATGGCAAAAAAAAATTTCTGGCTACAAAAAAATATGTTAATTTTTTCTAATTCGTTACAATAAGTAATATTACAAATAATCCAATCTATATCTCGAAAGAGTATGAGGAATGCATGA